AATGTTTTTAAAAAAAGATTGTGATTTCCTAGAGTAGATGACTGGATGATGATGTTTTGAAGTGAAGTTTTTTGTTTGTTTGTTGTTGTTCATTTTGTTGTTGTTTTTTTTTTCAGAAGACAGAGATTTAAAGGGAAGAATTGTGTGTGTGTGTGTGTGTTGTGTGTGTATTGGCAGGGGTAGTTTGTAACTTGCAGAATGTCCTCATCATTTGTGCTGATAAATGTTAATATTTGGCTTTCTTTTTTGTTTGTTTGTTTGTTTGTTTTTCGAGACAGGGTTTCTCTGTGTAGCTTTGGAGCCTATCCTGGCACTCACTCTGGAGACCAAGCTGGCCTCGAACTCACAGAGATCCGCCTGCCTCTGCCTCCCGAGTGCTGGGATTAAAGGCGTGCGCCACCAACGCCCCACCAATACTTGGCTTTCTTAAGGAAAACAAAATAAAGCAAAATAATATCTAAGCTAGGAAGAAAGACCAAGGAAGATCAAGGAAACAAGCTCAAATTTATAATTTCCAGGGCATAAATCTTCATGGCACTGACCATTTCAAGTTAGCCATAGGAATGCCAATTGCTGGGTTGCTGAAGGGAAGCCCGGCCAGACCTTGTGAGCCAGTACAAACTGGCTGCAGCACACCTAGACAGGCTTCAAGTGAAACCAAAGGGTGGAGAATAGGTTTAGAGGAGCATGTGGAAATAGAGAAGAAAACCTGTGAGCCTGGAGTGGGTGTTCAAGTGCTTCTGCAAGCATGTGTGCATGGGGGGATGGGGGAGGAGGGGAGGGAAGAGGGAGAGGAAGGGAGAGAGGGAGGAAGGGAGGAATGGAGAGAGGGAGGGAGGGAGGGAGGGAGGGAGGAAGGGAGGGAGGGACGGAGGAAGGTAGAGAGGGAGGAAGGGAGGGAGGGAAAGAACTTGAAAGGTGCTATGGTTTGAATCTGAACAGACAGATTTTTAGATAAAGTGTGGTTAAAGTAGCAGACAAAGTCAGAAGAGAACCAGATTCCTGCAATTTAAGAACTAGCTACAGGAAGGCAGGTGTGGCCAACAGTGTCAAATACCAGAGATCAAAGAGCCTAAGGACCTAAAAGAGGTCGTCAATGTTACCAGTTATAAACTGTTTGTCTGAGTTTTAGATATTTTTCTGCAATAAAAATTTTTATAATAACAAAAGAGATTCTCAATTCTTTGTGTCAATAACTTGGACAGAACTGCCTGGGCACCATGGAGAAGTTAATGAAAGACAAGAAATAGACATTAAAGTTTTCCTGTAGTGTTAAGGGAAGGGGGTTTGGAGGAAGGCAGGTTGGAATTGTGCAACCCCCCCCCCCCCGGGTTTCTTTGTTAACAGTCCTGGCTGTCCTGAAACTAGCTCTGTAGATCAGGTTGGCCTCGAACTTACAAAGGTTTGCCTACTTCTGCCTTCTGAGTGCTAGGATTAAAGGTGCTCACCACCACTGACCAGCAGAACTAAGACTTTTAAGAAAAACAAAATACCAACAGCAAAAACACACCTTTTAACTTTTTAAACTGATACTCAGAGAATGTATGTACCTGTTTACAAAGTGGATTAACTGGTTGACCCTAACAAAAAACTGCAAATGTATCTTTCTCAAAGCCAGAAGTAGTAACGGTTTTGCATCTTGCTTGAGTGTTAATAGAATTCACATTAATATAGAAGAGATCACATTGGTCTATTTAAAAAGAATTACTGTATTTAGAGTCTATGTGGTTTAGGGCCTGTTCCACCTATACAGGTGACACCTTGAATTTTGCCATTTGATCATTGATGGCTTCAGGATTTGTTTCAGTGTCTAAACATGGATTGGAATTAAGCCAATTCAAATTTGAACTGGAAGTCTTTTCATCTCTCCTTATTAAAGATGGTTTACCAGTCTTTTAGGAAGAAAAGGTGTGTGTACTCTGTGTGTGTGTGTGTGTGTGTGTGTGTGTGTGTGTGTACATGTGCACATATTTGGAAGCTAGAGATCACCATTAGGTCTTCCTCAATTTCACTCCACTTTATGTATTTGAGGCAGAGTTTCTCACTGATCTGGATCTCACTGATTCTGCTAGATTGGCTGGCCAATTGGCTCCATCCATCTTCATCTCCACTGGGATTCCTGGTATATCACACCTGCCTTTTTATGTGGCTTCTGGGGATATGAACTCAGGCCCTCACGTTTGCATGCTAAGTACTTTGCTGACTGAACCATCTCTAGTACTCTCTTTGAAAATTTGAACTCTTTCATTCTCTAATGTTCTGACCAGTAGGTTTTCTTAATCACTACAAATTCTTGAAAGATCATTTCATTTATGTTTTTATAAATTCTTCACTGAATTTCTGCAATGTTATGTTTTTCAGCTGCTGGGAACTAAATAGTAGGTATAACAATCAAGAAACACACATGTGGCAAAAATCTCTATATTTGAAAAGTCTCTATTTTAAACAAGGTGTATATAGACTGGCTGCTAGATATGTATTAAAGGCATCCTCCAAGCACTGCCTTTCAGGAGATCTTGGTTTAAAGGCCTTCATGGAATGATAAAATTGAGCTTCTTGTATCTCTGTGACCTCTAGCAAGGTCTGTGCAGCCACAGCTGCCTGAAGGTCATGTCTGTAATTAGAAGATCCCAGGGTTATCTCAGAATAGAACTTCAAGCCACCGTGGGCACATTTATGGAATCTACTACTTCAGAGCAACAGCAATGGAGAAACATCTTCCCATTTATGTCGAAAGGGCTTCCTAGGACAAGGTTTAGGGTTTGGTGAAAATGTTAAAGGTTTCAGAAGATGTGGCAGGGAAAGCTCTTGGAAGCATGCTCAGGAACAAACCAACCAGAAGCACCTGAAGGCTGGAAGGGAGAGGTTCCTGCTTTGAAATTTCTTTCTCTCAGAAGTGTGATCTCATCTAAGTTCTAAATGCTGAAATCCAGCCATTGTGTCATATGATGCTCTCCCACTGGCAGACAGCTTGCCACTTGGTGTCAACAGACCAATGTCGTGTATGACTTGGATGAAACATTTGAACTCTTCAGGGATGTAAGGATAGAGATTTACAAAACATGCATGTCCACACAGTCCCAACATTGCAAGTGTGTCCATGCATTCATTGCAGTGAGAGTTGAGTGGGGCCGCAGATTCTGAACCCCATAGTGGTTCTTAGCTAAAGGGTTCAAGTTTGCCTTCATGTGGCTAGGGATGCTCTCTACCTGGGGCTTTCTTCCTAATGTTTCTTCATTCTCTGTCATCCTAACTCCCTGATTTGTGTAATACTTAACAGTTGCTTACTCCCCAGTAGAGAACCCCAAGAGATTAGTTTTTATTTTTAAGATCAAGAAAGGATTTATTTACATGAATGTTTTGCCTGTATCAATGTGTATGTACCTATACATGTCCAGTGACAGTGGAGGCCAGAGAAAGGTGTCAGAGCTCCTGGAACTGGAGTTACAGATGGTTGTGAGCCACTGTGTGGGTGATGGGAACAGAATTTCATAGGAGTACTCTTGGGAACCAGGTCCTTCTAAGCAGAAAATAAACAGTGTGTATGTGATGTGTTAGGACTTAAACATTGTAAGACATGTGGACGTGGGGAAAGAGACAGAGACCTATTCTCTTCTTAAAATCTTGTGAGGAATAATAGATTTCCCTTCAGGAATTTTTCTTTCTACACAGATGGTCACAGACATTATTTTAAATTCTTTGCTAGTTCTGGACTTTTGAAAGCCTGGCACAGCAAATAGTTTATAGGCCATGGATGTCACTAAAAAATGTCACTGATTCTGTTTATGGTGCCCATCTTCCAAGGACTTCAAAGATTTTAATAAATTCATTTTCAGAAAACTGCTCAGAGACAAATAGACCATTCTTTTTTCTTGAAAGATGAGGGAACACAAGGGCTGAGGATGTGGCTCAGTTGGCAGGCTGCTGGCCTCCCTGCACGGTACAAACTGGGTGTGGTGCCCGGCTCCTGTAATTTTAGGCCTAGAGAGATGGAGGCAAGTGGATCAGGAATTCAAGGTTATCGAGTTTATGACCAGACTGCATGAGACTGTGTCTCAAAATAAATAAAATAAAAGAGGCAGAAAAACTTCATCTAATTTTGGTCTAGTTTGACATCAAAACCCACTCTTGTAATCACAACTGCCTTTGGTTGTGGCTTACAAGTACCTATTGTCAGTGGGATGTGTGTGTGTGTGTGTGTGTGTGTGTGTGTGTGTGTGTGTTTGTGTTGATTGTGGCTTACAAGTACCTATTGTCAGTGGAAGGTGTGTGTGTGTCTGTGTGTGTGTGTGTGTCTGTGTGTGTGTGTAGGGGTGGGTGGGTGGATGTGTAGTAGGAGGTGCAGACTGTCAAAGTCAAGGTTTAGGCAGAAACCAAAATTGGGCTGATAATCACTCTGTCTACCCCCCATCTAGGGCTTTCAAAGAAGAGACAGGAAATGATAGGCATCTGTGTGGGTCAGCCTTCTTCCCAACCTGGGGGCTAGGAAACTAACAAAAGGAGAGAGAGGGAGGGAGGAAGGGCTAGGTGGGGGGAGGGATACAAAAATACACCAAAAAATACACCAACCAACCAACCAACCAACCAACCAACCAACCAACCAACCAACCAAACAAACAAACAAAACAACCAACCAACCAACCAATCAACCTATCCCAAACTACTGCAGAAAGCAAGAGTTTAGAGGAAGCGTCCCTCACCCCCATTTTCTCTGCTGCCTGGAACGTGGAGTCCCTGGCTCAGCTCAGGCCTAGAGTTTCCCGCTTGCCTGAGGCAGGCAGGTCAGGGTCGGGGCTAAGAAAGGACCCCGAAGCCTGCAGCATGCGCCCCCGGTGCCAGCCGCGGCGCACTGTCGCCGGTTTAAGGGGCGGGCCGCGGCTCCACGTGCTTTCTGCTGAGTGACTGAACTACATAAACAGAGGCCGGGAAGGGGGCGGGGGAAGAGGGAAAGAACAGCATTTGACCGGTAGTAACCCCGGTGCTCGGCACAGCCGAATCTATAAAAGGAACTAGTCGCGGCAAAAACCAGTAATTCCGAGGGCGAGCGAGCGGGCCGGGACCGGCCGAGCCCACATCTCTCTACACAGCGCAGGGCTGGGCAGGGGCGCCTCGGGACCCGCTCACCCACAGCCGGTTTGGGGCGCTGCTCTGCTCCCTGTTTCCCTTCACTTTTCCCTCCCCCTTGCTGGAAGGGTTTGTGCAGGGTGGGCTAAACAGACGCAAACACCAAAGTGGAAAACAGGTAAGAGGTTCTTCAGTGACTTGGGCATTTTGTTTCGGGGCCAAGGAAGCTTTGGGAAGCTCTCCGTTTCCGGGACTTTGATCCTCGAACGCCCTTATTCCCTACCTCTAGGGATGCAAATAGGGCAGGGGCGGCAATAGTGCGTGTGGGGTATGTCTGGGAAGGGTCGTGGCGCCCTGGGATGCAGAACTGCAGCACTTGGGTTTCCCGGAGCTGGAGACCCGGGCAAGCATCTCTGGCCTGGGAGACCGGCCTCGTGAGCAGTGGGAGCCAGGGTTCTCGGGCGTCCTAGGGGCGCAGCCGCCGGGATGGGGCGAGGAGGATCCTCTGCGAAGCGTCTCCCTTTGTCTGGCTCTGGTTGGCCGGCGCCCACAAGTGTCACATCAGACTCCCCAACTCCTTCATTAAAGTGATCAGTGTTGGTCTCTGACTTGGAGATCCGCTCCTCGGACTGGGGCGGCGGCATGTGCTTGTTTCCAAAGAACTCGAATAGGAAGTGTCCTAAACGAAATCTTTTGTGTCATTGCGTGCTCCAGGCCTCGGGGCTTTGTTTGACCTGGGGGGCGGGGGGGGTGTCCTATCCCCAAGCTTACTGTGCTCTGGAGAGCTGCAGCCCCTGGAACAAAGTGGAAGACGAGTATTGTGCCTCCAAAAGACAGAAAACTTAAAAAAGAGCCTTCAGAAACTTCAAACTGAGGTGTCCAATTCTCTTCACCCCTGACCCATCTTCCTGCTTTTTGCTGCTCGTCCCTTGGAGTACCCATAGAGAAGCTGGGGCTAGGTAGTGCAGCCGAATGACGAATGACCGCGAGTAACCCCTGCGGGCGCAGAACTCGC